CCCCCCCCCCCCCCCCCCGTGTTGAGCTCATACTTTAACCGCCCACAGTCAAGACAAACTTTGCAGTTGGAAAAAATGCCATCCCCCATATAGAGAAAAAAGCCCTACACAAGGACGCCCTGGGTTGTCTGCTTCTCCACGCTCCCCTTTTTCTTCATCCCCTTCACCGTGGCTGTTATAATTTGTCCTCCTACAATCTACAAATTGGCTCTTTGGAGAGGGGGGGGGTGTGAGTGCGCCATATGTTAGGAAACATTGCATTGCTTTGATTTAATTTAATTGTATCAACTGTCATAATGATTTATAAATAAATAAATGTTTGCGAGCAAATTTTATGTATGCATGCACCATGAAGGAGAAAAAAAAAAAGGGGGGTGGTCTAAAATGTGACATTTTCCTACATAATATACGTATGGCCTCTGACATAAATCATTCAATTAAATTCAAACAATGAACACATTTATTTATTTTTTTTACATTTGTTAACACATAGCAACAAAATATAAGGGGTGATCTCCATTTTGAAGTTTATAATCAAGAACTTCTTGATGGCTTATGATTTTTTTTTTCAACATTTCACAAATAGATGCACTATGGGCCTAAATCATCGTATAAACAACAAAAAACAACAACAACAACAACAACAAAAAGCAGCAGCATGCGGACGTCTGCAAGATCCTTTACATCCCATTTCCCCATTTGTACGTACTATCCCTCCTCCGTCTCTGCGGACGTCCTTTATGCAGATGTAGGTATCACTAGCGTTGGTGTCACCCATGGTAACTCCGGATTTAACCCACCCCCACCCGTACTGCACCTAGTAATTCTTAACCAGATCATACAGACCGCTTATCAAATAGTTTATAAATTAATTCGTTAAGACATAAGAAAAAAACAACAAAAAACAACAGAATTTTACGTATTAAAAAAAAATAATTAAAAAATAAAAAATAAAAACTATTACTTTTTATTCAAACATTAAACTTAACATTGACAACTTTACTTTGCTGGTCTTCAAAGATGCAAACGTGTCAATAATTTCATCAAAATGAACTTTCTTCACGTTATCACTTTAATTGGTGGCACTCTGTTCTGGTGGTGCCCGATCGTATGGAACAGTGATAGAGAGAACTCACTGGCCCCTTTGCCAGAAGAGCCTGATCACTGATCGTATGGCACGGTTACAGAGAGAACTCGCTGGCCCCTTTGCCCCTGGATTCCTAATGATGCTCAAAAATACTGTTGCATCCTACTCAGCACCTTTGTCTCTCATTTTCCACGTGATTACGAATATCTTTAGGAAAGTCATTGCACTTAGTGAAATGTGTTGCTATAAATGACACCTGGTCCCCCGAGGAATGGGTTGGTGGAAACATAACAAAATATACCTACTGGACCTTTAAGATGACCAGAATAGTGAAGCTATGGAGAAAACTGATCCAGCCAGGCAGACCGAAAGCCATGTCTATTATTGTCTATCCTCACTGAAATTGTAACCTGGTATTGATCGGAATGGATTTGTGAGTAAACGATATTTTGAAACATCTGACAGTTAAGACGTTGACCGAATACATCGACACAAATTAAAATCATTTATGGCCATATTACATCCAAAATTATTATGTGTTGATTTTTCAGTGTCAAATCTTTGAGGGATGTCGATAGTAATGAGCCACAGCTTCAGACTCCTGCGAGTGTGAAATGGTGAGGTCACTCACTACCTTTAGTTTGTTCTTCGACTTGTTGGTCCTCTCTTGTCGGTGTCGTTGATATGGACAGAGTTGCCAGGCTACAACATGTCTTACACTCATCATCCAATAACTTCTTTTGTGATTTAGCTGGCTTCTCAGCCCACATGGCACTTAACGTTTGCTGCTGCTTACCTGCAGCTCTGTCCGTGTTATCCATATAATTTTTTTACTGGAATTCACAAATCTGTTTATCCATATATAGGTTTATCTTTGACTACGACTAGTACCACTGCGTCAATCATTTCAAAATGACCGTCCGTGAATCTCTAACTCTACTGCCCGTGTCTCGAAAAAACTTTTCCCTTATGTCTCTCGTCGTGTGGCTATAAATTATAAATATAAACTCTTTTAGATACGCGTCTCATGGTCATGGAATTGCTTCATCATCAAAGACAACATTCTCCCGACCAGATCCTTTACCCCCAAAGGCCCATGTCTCTACTCTATACCCACATCTATCACGTTAAGTGTTTTTGTTTTTTTCTATCACTGATAATTAATGCATCACAAGACATGGTCTTCGTGAACATTTCACATTTACCATACATAACTGCAAAACTCATTACTCGAATTGATTCGTGATACCTTTTCCCTCATTGTCCACATGGTGTCTCCTTGCCTCCCCAACTATCTTGTCTTCCATTTACTGCCATAAACTCTGCTGATGTCAGGTTAACTACCCCCTCATCTATTGTATAACCTTTGTCCGATACCGTTTCCTTTCTCAGCCCTGGTCATTTGTGCCATATAAAAAGAAATATTATTTATTTTTATATAAACTATTTTATATTCATAAGGACATAGTGCAAATATTCATATTTTTCAGTATTAATGTATTATTTTCCAGGGGTGGTGGATTCATGTGGCCCACTTGACCCATACTGCGGACACCCATGAACATATCTGTTTAAAGGGTATAATTTGTTTTCTTTGCACTAACTTCTTAGTAAAGCTTTTCCTTGTCAGTTTTTGGGTTATCCAACAAATTTGTTATCCATATCACCACAGGCCCCAATTAGTTCAGAAAATGCTCTACTGTATTTTAAAAAAATCATTTGCTCTTAAAAACATGATGTATAGTGTAAAGAAATCAAACATAAACCTAGTGAATAATTTATTAATGAAAAGTGTTGTGTCGATTTAAAATCTAAAAACTTCATGTTTGGATAAACACGTTATTCTCAGAACCAATTACGAAACTCTAATAATTAGGCCAAAATTAGAGCTTAAACAATGGTGTAACTAGGGCGGTGCAGGGGGTGCGGACCGCACCGGGTGTCACCATCTCGGGGGGGGGGGCACACCAAATTGCAAAAGTGCATATTTACAGAGCAGAGCAAACACTGCTCGGTTTAACCAAATTTCATAAAATGATAACCTACCACACGTCATTTTTACACACATGTAACCAATCAAATGCTTTCATATTAAAAGTGCAAGTTTGATGCTTCAGAATTGAGGTAATACCTTTAATAAGGTCAGAGCAACATCGTTTTGACCATAATTCAACGCCGATTAAAGTGTTCGTAAGTGACACTCTTTAACCACTCTTTTGTCTAAAATGCTTCATGTATTGAAATTTTCGGTACTCTTTATGGGTCGTTCGCAAATTACGTCACGCAAAAATGGCCTTCTTAGACCCTCCTCTCCCATGTCACAAATTCTTTGCTCCCTCCCCCCTTAGTGTCACGTCACACCTAAAAAAACCCACATACAATTTTGATAACTAACAAAGATTGTATTATTCTCTAACGTCTTCCCATAATGGATTAAGATGAAGTATTATTAGAAAACTGTGACACAAAACAACGAAGTCATCTACAAGCCGAATGTAAAATGGCCACAACAATTGACTCAGTTTCACGGTACCTATAATTCCTGAGACAATTTCTACCTCAAATTAATCATTTTTAAAATTAATTGAAATTTTTTTCAAAATTAGAAAATGTTAGATTTACCAACAAAGTATAATATGCATATATATATATAAAATTTAAAAAAAAATATTTCCCCCCCCCCTCCCCAAAGTGTCATAAATTCTCGAATCAGCCTTACCACGACCTACGAGAATAGGAAGGTCGTGCTCTTACACCCCCCGAGCGTGACGTAATTTGCGAATGAATGAACCCTGAAATAATTTGTTCATTCTCTGTTACAAAAACTCATCGATGGGATTTTTCTATTTGAGCACAATGGAATGTCATTTCAAAGACCGTCAACAACATGATGGAGTGCTCATCATGCTGCTGCTCAAAGAAAGATACGTTTGATGATATGAGTGGGGGACGAACGAAGCTTTACGTGATTCTCTTGAAAATTTGGATACACGAGGTATGGCACAAGTTCTTTTAATGCTGTCTGTGATTTTACGTTTATCCGCTACCTTTACCGTTTGGGTTGATCTACTTGAAGAAGTTAATCTTACACAGCAGTGTCTGCAGACTAAAGGCTTTACTCTTGACAAAGTGGTTTTTTGTTCGTGTCATTGTTATAATGTGGACTTATTTAACAGAAAAAAATCCATGGTGGAAGTCGGTTGGGGTGACATCATGAGTTTACCGCACCGGATGACACCAACCCTAGCTACTCCACTGCTCTCGTCTCGGGTTTTTTGCATATCACGTCATAAAATTTATTTAATTATAACGATATAATATTTTTTTTAAAATGTATATAGGCTAGTTGAGAGGTTGGTCACTTGCTACTATTTACTTTGTTTTAAACGACTTAGCCTATCCCTAGCAGTGGATAACTAGCTAATAATATTCTTGTTAAGCAGAAGTCGGCTAAAATCGCCTGTAGAAAAAGCCATGATACTGTGAGTTTTGCATTCTTTACTGGTCGCTAATTCTAGTCTCGAATCCGTCAATAAATATTTACAAGCAAATGTTTCTAACAACTTATAACAAGGGGATCGTTTTGAATTAAAATTATTTATTTCTACATGTCTCAATATGTTGATTTTGGAAGAATAAAAACATTACATAATATAAATTATTATTTAAACAACCCTTCAAAAAAAAAAAAAAAAAAAAAAAAAAAAAAAAAAAAAAAAAAAAAAAAAAATAAAAAAAAAAAAAAAAAAATAAAAAAAAACCAAAAAAAAAAAAAAAAAAAAAAAAAAAAAAAAAAAAAAGGATTTTCGTATAAATCCTTTATAAAATGTAATGTGTAACAATGGGCTGGGGCTGAACATTTGACGAAACGTGCATTCAAGTAACGCACTTTATAAGAATCCAAACTATTCCCCCCACCCACCCCACCCCACCCCCACCGCCAAGGCTCACGACCGCACATTTTTTCCACGCCCCTGAACTATCTCGATATTCTAATGACCCACCCGCTTTTGCATCGTAGATTTATTTCAACAACTATTTCAGAAAAAACAAAATAAAATATTACGCACCAAACGCTCTTGCGACATTTTTTAAAAAATTTTGTCGTAGAATCTCATTTAACGCAGTTATCGGGAATTTTATTTTGTGAACTCAGCGTCACCATATTTCCTTCATTTTCCCCCTTGAAAACCGGGAAAAACTGATTTTTGAGGGTTGAGGTTGGGGCTGAAAATTTGCTAGAATGTGTTTTCATCGGCAACGAGTCTATGTGCCAAGTTTCAGCCCGATAGGTTGACAGGAAGTGGGCCAATTAGCCGTCCGAAGATTATGTCAGCCACGAACAAAAGTGAAGTTAATATAAAATAAAATAACAGTTGGAGCAGGGGTGACCAACCTTTACAGCAGGCAGGCCAAATTGCAGGAATCCGTGTTCTCACTCGTGATTTGACGTGCGTAATATGACTAACAAGCTGTTCACGCGTATAAGTGTTACATAATAGCGAAACGATCGACAGAGCATGTCTGTAAAACGCGGGATATTTGTCCTTGTACAAATACGTTTTATAGAACTCTTGCAACCTGATGGAATGTCTCATTTAACCGTGTATCACAACACATTTCACAATGTCCCTTTGGTAATCTTCCTGATAATAAAGTCACGTCTACCGCGAATGGCGTAGCAAAAGCACAAAAAAAGCATATGCTTTTTTTTTTAAATCCTGAAATCGGCTTTCAAATTCGAGGTTTAATTCAGAAATCAAGGAAGCATATTAATATGCCGCCTCCTGTGTGACGTCTCGTTGCAATGACAATGCAGGAAAGTGAGTCAAGTTCTTTGACCCGAACTGTTGTTCCACAGACAAATTCTGAAATGCAGAAATATAATCATACATCTTATTAATTAATTGATCTTTCCCTTGTAGACCAGTATTAACGTCATTTAGGTGGCTAGTTATATCGACAATAAATGCAAAGTCTCAAACCCACTCTTTGTCTTCAAACTCTGGGAAACTTATGGACTTGCTTGCAAATAATGATTGTATTTCTTGCTGCAAATCGAACACTCTTTTTAACATTTTGGCATGTGTCAGCCATCTTACTTTTGCATAAAATGTCGCGTCATTATAATCTGAGTCCGAAGACTTTAGAAATTATTGGAACTGACGGTGATTCAACCCTTTTGAAGATCAATATTTGACGACCATTTTCATGACGTAGTCTATTTTTGAGGAACTTCAAAAATAGCCTAAATTATCAAGATGAAATATGCAATGAAAATTAAGCATTGAAGTATTGACGACTTTGGAGGCCTCATTGTCTATCCATTTGACTAAACCTTCGTGTTTACCAACAATTGATGGAACACCATCCGTTGTTAAGTCTGATAGGTTGTTAAGTTGTAACGAAAAGCGATGCTAATGTCAATGTAGCTGCCTCTAAAACATCGTGTGACCTAGATGTGGGATACATTGACGCTAATTCTTCTTTCTTTTTAAAATGGACATCAGCACCCCTGATAAAAATTGCCAGTTTGCTTGTATATGCCCTGTCTGTGTTTTCATACAATGCTAGAGCATAAAATATAAACTCGGTTGCTCGACTTTTCAAATTATCTTCAATATGTTTTCCAATGTCGTCCACACGCCTAGTAAAAGTCTGACGAGACATATTTATTTTGAGAAATCATTCTTCTAAGGACACAGAATTGCAACGACACTCTCCAAACATTCCTTAACCATTTCACCATCTGAATATGGCTTCGATTATTTTGCGTACGAGATATTTCATTGTTCAAATTCCTCTTAGCTATAATTTAAAAACATTTGAAACGAAGGACTCATGATGTAATTTTCTTTTGGTGATATGTACAATAAAGTTAACATTTATGTTCACTTGAACTAGCTCCGCTGGCCGCATGTTGGCCATCCATGAGTTAGAGGAAAAAATGATTAAAAGAAGCAAAGGTTTGCCTACTTTTATATTAATAATTAGTGCATTTAAACCAATTTTAAAAAATGTTGGACTGCGATAAAGCTTTAAAATAGATTAAATATACACCAACAATTTGTGTCAATTTAACAATATAAGGTAAGCTTTAATAATAGTTTTACAGGATACTAAAGTCTGAAAAGTATACGTTTCGGCACATTTACATGCCTTCATCAGTACAACAGAAAGACAAATACGTATAAATTAAAATCACTTTTTAAATTACATAAATTATTTTATTTGTCTTATATTTTTGTTTGTCACTGAATATTCAATTTAAACATTTTTCTTTGTCTTTCTTATATTCAATTTAAAAATACTAAGTATTATTGCACACAATAATTTTTCGCTCGACATAATATGATTGTTTCGCGATTTTCTTCATTTAAACTTTTAACGTAAATTCGAAGAACATCCGGTTTAGCACTTCCTTTTTGTGTTTAGTCTCCAACTGAGAAACAAACAAGATGGTAAATATTTTAAAATATCAACTTTAATCCTCCTTGCCAATCAATGTTATACGAAATTTATATTTTTAAAGAAAATCTTTATTATTCAGTTTTTTTTTTCTACCCGATATAACTTAAACCTTACATATTATTCACAAAACATTCAGCTATCGGCGTTAACTAAAATTACTGAGAAAGACGTTTGGAAGAATTCGTGTGTTTATTACCGTCAAAAAAAAAAAAGGAGCTGACTATATAGACTACCAAATTATAAGATGAAAAATTTATCTCTCCCTCCGTGGCAAGTTTTGTAAGGCCTTAAGCTTTGGGTAGTTCACTTGGTTGAACATGATTTGTTGTCATGAATGATTAATATATCATTATTCATTAAGAATTAAGATATATTATAATTGTATTATTTTTAGCTTGTATTCCTTATTAGAACGTGCTGAGAATACTACTGTACTCTTCAGTCAGTATTACTCAAAGACTACATTTACATCATACTTAAAACATCACTAATTTGACTAATTAATTGAATTTCATTGATTTGATTTACACACTTATTTTATCCCATCTCTCCTTTCATCTCTGAACTTAAAACATTTAACTTAACAATTTGCAATTTATTGTATGCACAGAAAAATGAACCTTGCTATGTGTTGTCTGAGAGACACAGTGCTGCGTATTATTCACTTGGCCACTTGACAGATTTTCCCCCTACAATTGCATTTACGAAATTAGCCTTGGCTTTGTTGTGATTAAGTGTTAAATTTTATAAAATGGTGGATAGGCTATTGAATAGAGAGGGGAGATAATGAATAGTGCCTCATACTCTGCTTTACTTTATATATAGCATTATATTGTCCCATATGTTTTTTAACAGGCGGATGACGATCTTCAGGAAAAGAAGAAGAAGAGGACTTTCCGCAAGTTCACTTACAGAGGAGTGGATTTGGACCAGCTGTTGGACATGTCAATGTAAATGCTTGCTTTTAAATTGAGAAATTACCATATAGGCCTATCAATAATCTTCTCTAAGTATGCTTTAGCAGGTGTGATATACCCCGGCAACCCCTCTTGTTGAAACAGTAAATCGACTTAATAGTCAATGCAAAGAAGTAATGCCATGAAGTCATTTGGATGTTTATTAAAGTTGCCTTGAATTAGGGTTCATGTTAGGTTTAGGGATACATTTAGGGTTCAGGTTAGGTTTAGGGATACATTTAGTTAGGTAAAGTGAGAGAATTAACTGGTCGTGTCAACCAAGATGGCAATCATGGGAAAAAGCCATGGCATCTCTTCCTTGCAATTACCACTTCCTGAATCTCACGGATACCACTGTTACTTATGGAGTCTGTCATGTTCATTTTGAACTTGTTTGGCACTTCCAAAGTGTCTTATAAATAATTATACCCTGATGGGCTAGTCCACTGACATAGGGTAATTTGAATGTTATATTCATGGCAATTTGCAGTATGTCTGTTTAGTAAGTGTATTATATGTGGTAGGTCCATTCAGAAGTTTAGTATCCTGGTAGGCCAATCTTTGCATAATAAATCTTAAGTATGATAATTTAATACAAATTCTGTTCCATCAGGGACCAACTTGCTGACTTGTTCAACTGCAGACAGCGCCGTCGCCTGAACAGAGGATTGAAACGCAAGCCCCTGGCTCTTATTAAGCGTTTGAGGAAGGCAAAGAAGGAAGCTGGCCCTTTGGAAAAACCAGAGGTATTATTATAAAAATAAACTTACAGAGGAGGCCTTCATATATACTATTTGTACTTTTTACAATGTGAGCATTTAATTTGGAATCCATGTGTATAATCTACTTTTTTAACTGATAATCAGATCAATAATTAGGCCTCATTGTTATAAATAGTTTAGCTCTCAAAATGTAGTTTCAACATTTATTAGACATGTGGATACTCTTGTGTGGTTTTCTTAGTTGCTTAAAATATTTTCAGGTTGTTAAACATAGTCTCTTAAAATAATCTTCAGGTTGTTAAAACACATCTTCGTGACATGATAATTGTTCCTGAAATGATTGGTAGCATCGTTGGTGTGTACAACGGTAAAACTTTCAATCAAGTTGAAATTAAGGTTGGTTACTTTTTTAATTGTAACCCTTAAGATTTGCTGGGCCCTTAAATTTGGATAAAGATAATACAAAATTGACACTGTTGTTATTGATGATGATGTGTGTGAAGTAGACACTTAATGTTTGACCTTCGTGTATTGCCTAGTTACAGACAACTGGATAACAAACTGCTTAATATTTCAGAAATTTCAAAATTTATGTCTAGAAACAGGAAGGAAGCTATTGATAACCTATTTCATTTTAAAAAATAATGTTACTTGACCTCTGAAAGTCATGATCCTATTTTCAAAGTCTGTTCACAATTGGATACCAGTACAGTTCTGAAAAATTCCCTTACAAGTGTGAAGCAAGGGGAGATTAACATTGATAAAGCCATTGTCAATGGGTGAGCTGTATCTTGACAAGCATCACCATTTTTTCTTTGACAATTTTCTTACCGGTCTCAAATATTGTTAAAGATTAGATGGAAATATTTGGTCAAATTGGAGTGTGGATAATTTTTATGTCAATGATCCTTTGAGATCCTATTATCCAATTGGCAGAAGAAGTAGGAAATGGTGGCCTCTTCTATGGATTCTGCTTCAGGTTGCCACAATCAATGCTGTCACTGAGTACAAACATGTGGAGAAATCTGACATGCTTGGACTTAGCTGATGCAGCAGCTCATGGCTGGATCATTAAAGTATTGTACAGCAAATGACAGCCCTGCAGCTACTGGCACTAAGACATTTGTCCACACAATGCATCAGTCAAGTAGAATGTATGCCAGGAAAAAACATGCTGAGTTTTCAAAAGCTAAGCAAAAGACCCCTACAAATAGTCCCATAGAATCTTCCAATAGATGCCTTTGTGCAAAGTGTATTTATGTAAAGTACACAGCTTTGCTGCTTTTCACAATCTAATTTAAGATCAAAAATAAAAACTTGTACGGTTCACATTTCTTTTCCCTTTAAATTTGTTTCTCATTTTTGTCATTTTATTGCATGGCACAGAGTATATAGTATATACAAAATAATCCAATGATAATTTTTCAAATAGAGCAAACGTTTCTGAATTCAGTGCACTTTATTTCATGTAACTATGTTGTCAGAAGATTGGCTATTCCGTATATTGGGGTCCATGTGACAATATAAACTTTTGGGCAATAAATGTACATTTAAAAGCACACATAATTTGTTATGAATGTATTAAATGAATTTTGAACAGTAAATTTTGGCATTTAATTATTAGCTTATCTTGTGTCCCACTTCTGATTATAATATTGAAATAATAAGCATCACTTTGATGTTTTGCATATGTAATGTAAAGATTACTTTTGTTTGTTTTTCAGCCTGAAATGGTTGGTCACTACTTGGGGGAGTTTTCAATTACATACAAGCCTGTAAAGCATGGTCGTCCTGGTATTGGTGCCACCCACTCCTCCAGATTTATTCCACTGAAGTAACAACCTGAATAAATGTTTTAAAATTGTTCTATTGCCTTCTTTATTATTTGAGTTTGTTTTTAATTGTTGTTCTAGATGTAAGAGTGTTGTACCTGTGCAAGTTGTACATATTCATGTTATTATATTATGCAATATAAAAAAAATCAATATTTAGTATCACTGACTTGCTAGTGTTGAACTAACTTTATTTTTAAGCAAATAAAATCTGCGCCTTTGTCTCACTCCTGATTGAGCAGTGTGAGTAGTCTTGTAATACAAATAGTTTGTACAGGTTCTTTTCCTGCATACTGGTAGTTGCTTAGGTTCATCAATGGAAATTGTTCACAAGATAAAATAAAAAGCAGTTGTCCCCAACTTCTAGCCAGTGTCATGGCAGTCAACTTGTGCCAAGCTCACTTAGTCCTATGAGTGAGTACGATATAAATATAACGTTGTTTGAGCTCTGTCAACAGTGCTTGTAATCGGCTAGTAGTATTGACACATAAACCAACTAGTATAAGACAGAGCCTTTCTAAACTCTTGAGTGGAAATGAAGGTATTCAATTCCAAGGATGATGCACAAAAACTTGGGTACACATAAGTAATGCATTCATCCAGTCAATCTGAATCTGCTAGTATTATAAATTTTAGTAGTTTTAAAATGGAATAAGATTAAATGAAAGAGTCGTGATGCTTTGGGTAGTGTAGGGCTAAATCATTTTGTTAATGCTGGACCCAGAACAAAATTTAGAATCACTGTGTAGATGCTATAGATGGTTAAAATGGGGTTTAGGGGCCATTCAAATTAATATTTATTAAGGTTTCTTGAGTGGGATCCCTTTTTTGTAGTTATTAAGTAAAATATATACTGGTACCGGTATCAAGAAATTTCAACCGTGGTAAAACTGTTAGTACCAGTACATCGTATATATTATGTAGGTGCTTTTTTTGTTTGTTTGTTATTTCGTAAGTTGGTACTTATTGATTATTTTGTTCATTCGCTCCTTCCCCAATTGAATCACTGGTACTTCTAATACTTCTAATTGTTTAACTGGGTCAGAATGAAAAGTTAAATACACTGTTTGCAGATAACAATGTCGCCCATTTTTTTCAGAGTTCCAGTATCTCATAATAGTAATTGTGGGTAGCCCAAACCAACATTTATTTTTAAATTTAAACTAATTTTAAGGACACTCACTTGAAAGAACTTTGCACTACTGGTACCGTATAAATCGATACCTGTACAAAAATTGGCAATTTTTCATTTTGTCAAATCGTCCATTTTTGTGGAACCATAACTACTAAACTGATGATCCTAAATGTTCCAAAAATGGTGTACTTGCTTAAAATTTTACATACTGGTATTTAAAGCACAATTGTTTTGAAGCAGGTAGAACCAACCATTCAAAGTTACCGGTACTAAAAAATTATAACAAGATTGCTTTTTTTCAATTTTTGTAGTCTTTAGTTTCCAACTGCAATAAATTTCTAAAATTCGTTAAAAAAAATGTCATTGAATACATAAATATGTGATATGTCAAATGAAAGAGAATTTTAAGCAGCACAACATGCACTATGCCCTAGTAGGTATAGCGTCAAGAAGCATTTAAAAAGGCACTAAAAAAGTTTTGAAAGTACGCACTTAACGATTTTCTTTTTACAAAATTAAGGTTTACAAAAAAATGCAATAAAATCAAAGGAATATGATGTCAGATGTCTTTACATTAACTAAAAGATCAATAAAAAAAATAACATAGTAATAGCATCGTGAAAAACAGAAAGCAATTTAGCATAAAATTAAATTATCTGGGAAAGTTTTAAAAGTTGGTGGCAATTTAATTAAGAAAAAGTACTTTTGTCAATGTTTAAATTTAATGAGATGGAAACGTGTGTTTACTTAAGTTGTACATATTCATTTTCAGGACATTGATACATATGTTAAGCTAAAAACAATTTCAAAATATTAAATTACGCTTCACGCAGCTGGAACGCAGTTCTTCATTTAAAACATTCAAAATATTAGCATTATAGGAATTTATATTTTGGGAATGTAATTAATCAAGAAGATTTCAAATATATATCAAATATATACCGCGTAAAGTCGACTGCTACGGGTATAGCTAGATTTGTACCGGGTATTAAATATTCGGATCATCAAATATATGGAATGGCCTATTTGCTTGCAAAATTTCACTTATTATAATTATTGACAGTAGTTAGGTCAGCTAGGGTTGTTGTCACCCGGTGTGGTAAACTCATGGTGGCATCCGTGATCACGTCACGCCACTACACGACTCACTTCATTGGCTTCTTTTACAAGTACGCATTGTCTACTACTACTACAGGGGTCTCCAAACTTTTCAGCCCGAGGGCCGCATTAATGTTATTTTGTGTGGTGTGGATGTGGGAGGGATTTGGCATAGATCACTACGAACTCGAGGTCCAAATAAAAAAGAATGAAAACATGGATGTTGTTTTTAATTATTTTTTAAATATTTATTATTCAGTTATTATTTGATAAACATTGATACACTTGAACAAGCAGCTAACCATTCAAAAACTCCGCCACTAGATGGCGTTATATCAGGCCATTAACTGTGAACGGAAGTAGAAAAACTAAGCAACACATAAGGTTTTGCAATGTAGTGATCGGTCGTAAAACATAACGCACTACAGCGCGCCTCTATTTAATTCGGTAAAAACATAACGTCCACATAAGCGATGGCAGGATACACGTAAATTTCCGTACCGGGTAATTTTTTTACCATAGACCAATAAAGTCTCCACAGGCCGGATGAGAGGCCTCGTGGAACGCATCCAGTCCGTGGTGCGTAGTTTGGAGACCCCTGGTCTACTACTACAAACACTCTGTTCTTTGCCACAGCTTTTTCTCGGACTCCTGCTATTCCTATCTAACCGAACTTCTTTCTGTGTATTGACCCCTTCGACAGCTTGGCTCCTCTGCAGACACGCGTACTCTTTCTGTTCCCAAGGCACACACTAAAACATACAGTGAACGATCCTTCTCTTCCTGTGCCCCCAAAACAATGGAATTCTCTTCCATTATACATCCGCAATAGAGCATTCCAGACACATCTCTTCAAAATCCACTACTACGACTCATTCTCACTCCCTCTGATTGATAAACACGCTCGGTGCTGCCGGGTGCCATCCGTGGCTTGACTTGTAAATGGTTTGTGAATATTCCGTTTTAAATAAAGGTTTTTTTTTGTTGTTTATTTTCAAATTTAATAATTTTTTTGTGTGTGAAGCGCTGTGAGCCCAGTCCTAGGCGGGTGTACCGCGCTACATAAGGTCATAATAATATTAATATGCTATAGGCTAGTTATTTTTACATTAAATTTACTTTATTTAAAATTTTTCTAAATCAATATCCTTCACCGTATCACTTTTAATTGATAGTAGAGCCAGATCAGAAAGCCCTGTCTTTCGCACGGTGGATCGTAAATAGTTCTTTATAAGACTTAGTTTCGGGAGGCTCCGTTCACATGAAGTCACAGACACATTATATCGTAAGAAACAATGGAAGGTTTAGCAAGAGCTTGGAAAAGAGCTTGGAAGAGATTCTATTCTAGGAAGCCCCATTCAGCTATGAATCTCACAACATCACATACTGACCGGTCGATGACTTATGAAATTCAATATCAGGTACCATAAGGTGTCCTCTAAGCCTTGATATTTCTTTTAAAAGGTCATCTTCTGATAACTCAACATAGAAAAAGGTTCTAATTGGAACGGACACCAATAACTCTTCTTCACTTGCTTAAAGTAGACTCTTGGGTTGAACATTCACAAAAAAATATCTGCTACTTCCTTGATTGCTGATGATCGTATCTGGAGTTCAGAATGAAGCGATCAAATACATTCCAGCATCTACCAACTGTTTGCTTAAGACAGAGAGACCCGTGAGGTAAAAGAATTGAACAAGTTGTGCGATGAAACTAATAAAGAAGGTGAGTTAAAACGTGAAACGAAATACCCCTTCAATACTTACAATTTTCAACAAAAAAAATATAAATATATATATATATATATAAAAGACAGAATTGACAATCCGCCTCTTTAGCTATTGAGCCAGGATCCTAACTTAACACAGCGCCACAACTCACTCGACGCCACAACTCACTCGACGCCACAACTCACTCGACGCCACAACGCACCATGGCAGCAGTATGCTTATAACTTATATTATGCTTTTTTGTGATGTACATTAAAAAAACAAACAACAAAAACTAATGTAGAAGTTTAAATTAATAGTTTTATAATGGTTTAAATAAATTTTTAATATTATTAAAAACTTGTATATCTAGAAAAAATTCAAATAATTCAGAGCATTACTCTGTGTAGAATAGTGCAATATTAAATTAAGTATATGGAAAAGTGAATCCTTGTATTTTGAATTTAATAAAGAGACCGCATAACGTAAAAAAAAAAATAATGGTTTTCAGACAATCTGGCAGCTAATTAAACTGCAAAATTGAAAGTTCTTATTGTATTATAATAATAATAATAATAATAAAGTTTATTTCAAAAACATTCTTCATCCCCAAAGGCTCAAAGTGCGGTACAAAGTAAAAAAAAACCACTATAATTTACCACATTTAAAACGAACGCAACACTACAAAAACTAATTACAAGCATACCAAGTCAAAGTCTTTCTACCCATTTCAACCCTAAGCAACACAGCCAATATGCATTAACTGTAAAATATGGTAGATAATCATCCCAGAAGGTGTTTGCGAAATAGATGTATAAGCGTTAAGGAAACCCCAGATGGGCTGCGACTGATAAACATAGAAATTTGAGATGTTATAGATCTTTATCATCCACAATATCAATAATAGAAAGGCATAATAATCAGAGATTGAGATTAACATAAAAATGTATTGTGATGCTACAGAATTGTAATCCACGGGCAAACAACACAAGTAAACAATGAAGTCATGTAAAAAGGATAAGATGGCTTCTCAGCGAAAAATCACCATCCTTGCTTTCGTCGTGGTAAGTGTTCAACTTGTGTGTTCATTG